TGGTGCCTGAATATTAAGAATAAATTGTTGCTATTGTTGTTATGTAAGGAAGAGCATGTGACTGTCATGTGACCAAACAAAGGAATGGATCCACCAGTGAAGCAATGGGGAAAACAATCAGTGCAATCTAAAATACTAAAAATAAAAATAATAATTTTAAAAGAATGCCCAATAACATGAAAAATATGCATGTACATGTGCGTATAAATGTGGCAAATTAGTTTGAGGACAAAAGTGATTTCTTCACAAAACTTCCAATCACCAATATTAATGCTTTGGGAATTGTTATAAATATTGGATCATACAGGTACACCGTAATACTGTAATAGACTCTAGCCCAAGGTGCACGTACATGTATGGCTAAACCCATCAGTCAGAAACAACTCAAAAATTAACATTACATTTGCATAACAACATCAATAAGAACGTGTAAAGTGAAGGCAAATTTTTGCAAGTTAGCACAGGCCATAGATCATGGACATTGAGAGTAAAACATGCTACATGTACTTCACAGCTACATTTAGTAAGTCAAGTTAGAGGAATTTAGCTGGTGCTAAGACATTTCTGTTTTAAGAGGGTGAGAGAGGCTTTAGCCCATAAACCCCTTACACTGTTGGCAGTAAACACATCCCCCATCCCTTCTAGAATAAAGATTTGTTTATGTGGTGTTAGGGATCGTCTACCTAGACCACTAGTTTATACATTGGGCTGAACTAGACTGACAGTATAAACTATAAACAAGCAGAGGTGGGGTGATGACTTTTGAAAGGCTTCAAATTTATTCTGCAGAAACTCAACACCAGCACTAATGTCTGCTGCCAATGAACAGACAGGATAAAGGGAATGAACATTACATGTACATCGTAGAATTAATCAAGCAAACAAAGAAGCTAAGAACAGGATACTGTCATAGTTATACATGTACATACATACCAACATTATCAATGTCACTCACACAAAGAATCCTATTCACTAAACAAGGCAAGCAGTAAATACATGTACAACTAGTTTATACATTGGGCTGAACTAGACTGACAGTATCTGTTAAAAATCCCAAATGCATTATTATTATTATTATTATTATTATTATTATTATTAGGCAAATATGACATTAAAAGCAAACCTCACATTAATTACTCATTATCATACCATTGTAACAGACCCTGCTTCAAAAATCCATTGTGCAACAGCTTGATAGTCCTCCCAGCGAATGAAGAACAACAGAGCACGGGAAAATCTAAAATAGAAAGACAAAGAGACCAAAAAGTGTGTTAAGGCTAAGTCAGAGCACGTGGGGAACCAAAAAACGGTCCAGGAACTAAGTGAAGGCCTTGTCTTACCTTCTTCACTAGAGCGAGAGGATTGAGGAACAGGTGAAGGTTTAGAAGAAGGCGGAGGAAGAGGAGAGGAGGGAGAAGAAGGGGCAGAGAAAACCTCAAACAATGCTTCCATCACCAAACTGAAACCACGTGGTAGTGATGGGCGATACTA